CGACACTCACGCAGTGTCTGTTAACAGTTGTTTCATTATTTTAAAAAACCAGGAACACGTGCTACATGGCTAGGCTAGGCTAGGCTAACGGAGCTGAGCTAACGGAGCTAAGCTAACGAAGCTGAGCTAACGGAGCTGAGCTAACGGAGCTAAGCTAACGGAGCTGAGCTAACGGAGCTAAGCTAACGGAGCTGAGCTAACGGAGCTAAGCTAACGGAGCTGAGCTAACGGAGCTAAGCTAACGGAGCTGAGCTAACGGAGCTAAGCTAACGGAGCTGAGCTAACGGAGCTAAGCTAACGGAGCTGAGCTAACGGAGCTAGCTGTCAAAAAAAAAACAACAACCCAGCATTAAAAACGTCGTGCAACGAATAACCGCCAAATATGATGTTATAAACCGTCGTTTACGTGACGTAAGCTAACGTTTTTCGGTGTCGTTTTTATTGTGATGGGGGTATCAAAGCTGTTAGCATTGCTAACTTGGTTCGGCACAAAGCGCCCCGTTTTTTTTTTTTGTTGTTTTTTTTTTGTTTTGCCTTAGTAAACACGGAGTAAACGTCGTACGGTTCGAAGCGGGCGATGTTAACGACTACGTAGAATCGATCGATTTTAATGTCATGCGGTCAATTAAGCTGCGTTTTGTTCGTAACCGTGGTCCGAGCGCGACGATAAAAAAATCGCCGACACACGTAAATGTTAGCGTATAATGTATTTGTTTTTTTTAAAAAATGTTGTTCTCTCAAATCCTGACCGCTGTTATCGACGATTAACCGTGACGGTTAAAAAAAACTGTTTTACGGTGATTCGGACAAGCTGTGTAATAATCGAGATCGCTAACGGTACGGTTTTTTTTTTCCATGTTCATCGTCCGTAGGAAAACGGAAAATATTGAAGTAAAAAAAAAAAAAATACCGAATCGATAACCCAGTTATCGATCGTGAGTTGTGAATATCTCTGGGATCGAACGATACGAAACGTCCGCGATACGACAACACATCACATCTGGGGCTTGTGGTGTCAAATCGTTATCAGTGATGATAACGTGGACGTGACGTCACGACTGCGTCACCCTCAGAGCTAGTCTGTCGTACAGTATATTGATGAATATATTTCTCTCGTATATCTCGTGTAAATACATGTCGCGTGGCATTTAACGATTATCGCATGAGGAAAAATATATTAAAAAATATATATATATTTTGTGTTTTTTAAAAAAAAAAGTATATTTCCTCTATGTATTGCTGTCGATTTGTTTTGTTTGAAGGATGTCGTCGTCGATGCTAAATGGTTTGCATCGAGCACCGCTTCCCGGG